TTTGCAAAATTTGCAACATTAACGATCCGTCGCAATCAATTTCTATCAATTAAAATTACATTCGATCATCGAGCGTACATGCGAATCTCTCCCCTCAAAGTCGTTCCTCCTTCGTACCGAAAATTTTTAGTGCGCGCTTACTATTACGTGTAAACGCCATCCGTTCCCTTGAAACAGTGACGCTGACGTTGATAGTGATAGCGTAACGGCAAGTAAATGCGTTATAAGTTATATATGCTCATTCGTATTTCGTCGCGCTCTCTCTCTCTCTCTCTCTCTCTCTCTCTCTCTCTCTCTCTCTCTCTCTCTCTTCGATGTGTTATCAACTAAACTTTTACAATTGTTATTTCTGCCACTGTCAAAGACAGTGTATTTATACTCTGACTGTATCGCAAACCCCATTTTATCTTGCTCCTATTATCTTCCTTGCGTGTATACATTGTGCGTTTGAACGCGCGTTTCTTTCATTTCTTTGTTTAATTTGACCTTTCAATGACTATATAAAGAAGTACTTCAAAGATTTCTTAATTACTCGTGCTCTTAATTCTTCGCGATGTTTGCTGAAGAGGAAGCGTAAGGATGATGAAACCCGTTCTTCTGGCTATTCTGCACTTGCCAAATCGCTCGGGAACTTCATTGTACACTTTACAACATTTTCGCCGTTGAAACGTCTCTATATAATTTTGACGTTAAGAGATCGTTGTGCGAGAGAACAAGTATTTCTTATTAAACTGAGATTGTATTAAAGAACTTTGTTTTTTATCTATATTGGCTAAGCATTTCATATTCGGAATTTAAACAATACGATTAAATAGATTGGCTGATGAAAATCACGTAAAAGGTGAAGTCCTTTCAAGTTTTTATTTCGAGTATTATAAGTTTCATGTAAATATCGTCTGCAAGTACTTTTGTAAATCTAAGGTAAAAAGGGAATGACATCAGCGATGTTTGAGCTGCGTTAAATGCTGTACTCACAACAAAAATCATAATTATTGATAAATAATTTAATAAGCTAAAGGTATAAAGCCAAAATTTTAATAAAAAATATTTTATTCAACGATAAAAACTGAATCTCGTAACTTGATTCATCAATATCTATGTGACCGAGCGTATTAAAAATGTAAAATAAGCTATTTAATCTGTGGACTCGTGTTATTAACGCGAAAATTTATTAAATTAATGTATAAACTTGTAAAAAATTTGTTTGAATATAAAATTAAAGTCAATTTCAAATTCAATAATACAGATGCATGTTGGTCGAATGTTTATAGTATAGACGATCGTCACAGTATTAATGCGAGAACTAAATATATGAATAATTGAACGTTTTTCCGCTCCTTGCCACTAAAATCGATTATTTGCTCATTCGTTTAAATATCAATTTATTTGAAAACGGAGCTTTTCAATTCCACAGGAGCACACAATAAATATAGCGTAAACGATGAAATAAAATTCGCTGAGCATTAATTTCGATCCTCGATTTCTCCCGCAACAAAACTCTTCCAAACTACGGTCCCTATAAGTACAAATAAACTTGAGTGCTCAAACAGACCGAATAACATTACCGCCCGTGGCTTAAGATTGTGGAAAATCGGCAAACGGAAGCCGTCTCTTTTTCTCTTAAATTACTTAACCTCCGTACTATACTTATTCGCTGTCGACCGAAGAAACGATGTAGCGGCACAATGAATTAAACGCTAGTTATCGAGATCGTAAATTGCACAAACGCCAGAGAGAAAGAGAAAGAGGATAAGAAGCAGCAGGAACAGGAGGAACATGAAGGGATGGAGGAGGAGGAGGAGGAGGAGGAGGAGGGGAAGGAGGCTCGTTACATTTGGGCGTGTTGTAGAGGCTCTCCATCTGCTTGATTTATTTAAAAACTTGCCCTTTGCTCCCTACCTTTCTTCTCCCTCTCACCTCAGTTTTGCCTTCCATTCGTCTTTTCCACTTCGTCTTTACTGCTTTCCACCTTCTTTCTACATTATCAACCACTCGATCTATTATTCTTTTTTATCTTCCTCAACTTTATAACCATCGCTCACTTATTTTCCCTTTCTCGCGACCTCCTCGTCTCTTACTTTCTCTTTAAATTCACCTTAAAGTATTTTAAATACTTGTAAAGCGGCATATTATTCTAATGGCCTATTATATGCAGATTTTGTAGTAATGCACGCGCGTACACAAACATATTTACGCAACATTCGGTAATTTTTAAAAGTCGTACTAAACATAAAGTGTGTATTTTATTAGTAATATCTACAATTTTTCTCATAAAAATAAATACATTTACCGCATATTAGTTATACAATTTATAAAAACTAACTTTTAAGAAAATCGTGATAAAAAAATTTTTTATTTAAAATATTAGATTCAATAAAATTTTAGTAGAACTTATGATTTTTTTCCGGTAAATTTACAAGCTTATACAAGAAAAATTTTGTAATTTTGTAAAAATGCAACCCGAATGCTTCTCTTTTTTTTTCTACGCATAGTAATAACTTTTAGAAGCACTATGAAACAAAGGGACATAACTCTCATTATACTATATTACCTTGATAATTAAAAGACATGAAAAAAATTTTTCTCTTTAAAATGACATAACTATATAGCATATTTTAGAAATTAAGAACTGCGATTTTAATGTGTAACATTGAACGATTAGAAACGATTAATAATTTGCTTCTACATAGAGACCAAATTCCCCTTTAAAACATAAATATTGCTAATAATGTTTATAAATTAATATCAATTATAATATTTATAAAATTTAACTGGCTTTTTCACGCTAGTATAAATGTTTTGAAAAATAATATATGAAAGAGGCATTAATAAATCTTTTGACACTATAAGACTTTACTTTATATAAACCTTTATAGACTTTTTATTAAAAGAATATTGAAATATTTTATCAATTTTATGAAACACATATTCCTTTGATAATGAAATATTTTTCAATTATTGAAATATCTTTTAATATTTTTACAATTACATTTACGGAGTAACCGTCAATAAAAGTTTTTATATACAATTTATTTTAGGAACTGTGTCTTTTAAAATTACTTAACTTTTTATAAACTCATTGAGATTTAAGCCTGAGCTTAATGTAAAATATAAAATGGTGAAAATTTTTTCCATCACTCACGTAGTAATTTACCAACACATCTGCCTCAGCAGTTACGCATATATTTCTACATGCTCCTTTAAAAAGGACTGGCGCACGGTTTATCTAGCGCAAAGTGCTTCCTTGACCCTCTCGTCCAATCCAACCCATCCGCTAGCCGTCCTTTTTGTCACCAGTTTAACTTTCTTTATGATTTCATCAATGCATATTTATATTATCTTGTCAGGTATGCAGCGATGGTTTTAGTAAGCTCGTGAGGAAGCTTAACTTCGACATTTTGCCATCGGACCTGTTTCTTTTCTTCCCGAGTACACTCTCGTTCTTTTTATGATTATACTTCGGTTACGATAAGTCCCATCACATTTTTTAATTATTTATGGCTTCGAAAAACATTGGATGTTGAATTTTATTTTATTTAATTTATTTCTATGTTGCACCTTGAAAAAAAAGTAACGTAACGGCTCATTAGGTTCGGGAAATATGTTGCGAAACTTTACACGTAAAACCAGCCAACAAAAAAGTTTGTGTATATTTAGTATTTTATCGAGTCTTTGCATTAAAAACATATTTTGCTAAAATTAAACCAAGGAAGCAAAGCACTATTATCTTTATTCTTTTGTATCCATAAAGAACATTAATTGATATAGTATTGTTTAAGTAGTTATTATTAGAAATAAATATCATTACATTAGGACAAAAAAAAAATACATTACAAGTAGGATACTTATTATTCATATGTATAAAAATTAGATTTTAAAGTACAAAAAACTAATGTGTATTTTATACTTTTGTTAAATCAATAAAAATGACTATAGTAATAATGGCAAGCTATCACAATTTCATTGATTTAGGAAATATCTTACTAGTGTGTGTAGTATTTTTTTCACTAGTTATTGTAAAAATCCTAAAATGGTTCCAATAAACCAATAGTTATGGTTCGATCGTACTTGCAATCTTTTAATTTGTAATATATTTCTACTGATAAATCAAAAAAATTTTTATTAATTATTTAATTTGCTCAATTGTTTCTTACATTTTAATTTTAAAAAATCTCATAAATATTTAATATTTAAAGATAAGTAAAACATAAAAATTTGTGATACTTTAATACGAAAAAATTGAATAGGTAAAATCTGGCGATAATGAAACGTTTCCCAAGTTTATTCTGTTGCAATTCTATCTTGTCATATTTTTTATCTTTTCTGACTGTCGTGTAAACCGTTCAATTGTTCCTCTTATTTCCGTACTCGTGAACTTATCGATTTATTCGTCGTCGGAATTGTGTATGTAACGACACGTAAAATACTTCTATCGACAATATCTATCTCTCTGTCTGTAGATGTTATATATATATATATGCTGCCTCCCTTACCTTCGATCCATTCAACTTAAACGATTTTCTAGAGTAGCCGTCTGGAATGTTTTTTATAAATATTTGAATCGATGTGTACGTTTCACTGAACAACTTCTAAAAACACGATGATGTGACATGCATCATCAAACAATGATATTTTGGTATAAAAATTCGTTTACACATTTAATGCTATTTCGTGAGTAAACTTTGACTTTGACTGTTTTGCCAAACAAAATTTTTTATTTCCTCATACTCTTCAATTTTATTTGAAAATAAATGGAAATTTCAATATTTGATATTCCCGACTAAACAGTTATTGATTCATCAAACTTTCTTGAAGTATATGATTAAAAGATTTTGGCAAGCTACAATAATTCTTATACAAGTCATTTTTTTAAGGAATAAAATTATTCGTATATGCTACATTTCATAAACGCTAAATATACTTTATGATTTATATCATATTATTTGTATCGCCTGGTATCCTACAAACATCATATTTTTATTTGTTTATTTCAGAATACTATTTTGCCGAAAGCTGTTCATTTTTGGGAAAGAGCATTGATGGTTCGTGAAACGAAAGGAACGATACGACTTAACCGGTATGTAAATTTTATATTAAATAAAAAATGCTTTCGTAGTTTTTAAGCTTTTGAACAGGGACATTACAAGAATTAAAAACTACGACTAATCATTGAATGAAATTAGTTTTTTTTATTTTGCATAAATGATTAATTGGTTTCATGTAATTTTAAATGCTCATACTTAACGAAGATATAAATAAAAATGCTAAACGGGCATACATTTATAAGGTATTATCTTTTTCATTGTAATTTTGATACTTGCTTTGATATTTACTTGATTTTTTTTTAATTCTTGATTATACTTTATACGTAATGTAAAAAAAAAAAACAGAACATATAAAAAATTGAATAGATTATTTTCTAAGCTGTGCTTCAATGAGTAAATTTATACGCTTTATAAGAGATTGATACGCTAGTGTATTTATCGCGTATAATAAAATGATAATTAAATAGCATAAAATAATATAACAACAGAATAAATTTTAACTATTATGCAATTATGCTATTAATTTTAAAGTATGACAGTAACAACGAATGTTGTCACAATTATAAAACTGAAACTAATAAAGAATGTTGTAAAACGATAAAGATCAATGGACAATAAAGTTAGACCAACTGTAATTAATAGGAAACAAGTATAAGTATCAGCTTCATAACAAAAAAAAAAATTAATAATTAATGACAAAATATCAATATATAACGAGACGACAGTATGAAGTATCACCTAACTAATAATAAACTGTAAATAGTGATAATGTTGAGTACATACAAATGCGTAGTTAACGGCTAATTCCCACTCCATTCGCTGGCTTTCATTCGTGTTTATTCATCTACGAGAGTATGTCGAAGAGAGAATAATATTCCGGCGAGAGAGAATAACGATTCTATCGAATCGTCGACTCGCACATGCACAATGAAAGTGTTCAATTTTCGAAAACGCAAACTGGAGACAGAATTTTCGAGTTTTCCTCATCAGAGGCGATAGTTTGCAATCCAATTTCCCTCGGAGCAATTCACGTATAACAATGGGGGCCCGTCGCCCCCATTCTAAGCACGGATATGTCCTCTTTCTTTGCTCGCTCTTTCACCGCCGTCACTTCCTTCCACCGACCAACGCTCGACCTTATTATATTTCTCGTCTTTGTTGCCCATGTAAAGATCTAATCTACTCGATCTCCTGAAGCGGGCAATATTTCGCAAGAGTGGACTCGAAGTTATTGTCGTGACGAGTTTTACGAATAAGTAATTTGCAAGTTACGATTTATCGCAGTAATAGTTTTTCTTCCTTACAACTCAAGACTATTTGAAGCAAAGAATATCGATATATTTTTATTCAATATTTACACACAAACCCACACCCGCGCGCGCGCGCGCATATACACATAAATACACACACGCGCACGCACGCACGCACGCACGCACATAAATAACGGTGTGTTTGTGCGCGCGTGTGTGTGGGTGTGTGCGCGTGCGTGTGCGCGTGAGTATAATCCTTTACAAGTTAGTAAAAATACATTCTTTTATTTAGAGAAACGTAATTCTCAAAAAATTTTACTTACATGTATCCGAATGGGGATGTATTCATTTTTTTTATATATATATATATATATATATATAATATGATACAATAGCATATAGCTTATAATTATTAATATTAATATATAAATATATTAATATTAATATATTTGTGTGCGTATGTGTATATTTATGTATAGAATCTCATTAATAATATAAATACTGATTATTAAATGTATAAATAAGTATAGTGTTTAGTCATGAATTAATAAAGTGTAGATATTTTATAATGGATTAGTTTAAAATATTTTGAATAAAAATGTAAAGTAATATATTACATTAAAAAGAAAGCAATTTATTATTTATTTTGCATCTTCTATACCGAACGAATATCAAGCTCATATTATTCGATAGAAAAAATTACATACTAATGACCATATTATTCTACATTTATATATTTACTCATTGCCATATGCAAAAACTGAATCACTAATCTCGGTAACAAAGTAATGATAATAACAATTTTCCAAAGGTATTAATTTTATTGGATCTTTCTATTCATGCTTGTATGCTCAATATAATAAACATTGATTTAAACGTCTTCGAGCCCTCATTTACAACTCAAAGAATTTCGTAATACGTAGTCATAAATCAGCGGCAAAAGAAAGAGCGTTTTATGTGGGTGCAATATTGTAAGCATATGTAATTGCATTAACGTAACCGCCGTCACTTATGCCCTTATGAACTCGGTGGACAATAAAGTTAACAAAATTTAAATCACTAGCATCTAATACATCTCGGAATAGACACGATTTAATGGAGCTTCTGCCTTCCTTGCACCGACCATGTTAATTTGTCAGGCTTCGAGCAGGACAAATCAATCTCAGCTTAAGTCTTTACCAATAATGAGGTACTAGTCCTCGATTGCTCGTCAACGTTCGCAAAAGGAACGACCTTTAAGCTGATACAAACGCTGCGCAAAATTGGTCGAGGAGACGAGCGTCGTCTCCTGGAGCAGTAGATACGGTCCGCTTACGGTCAGCCGAGGCGGGAATTTGCAATTCGGGGGAATTTGAAAAAGTGTCGCCAGATTAGAAATTCAATTGCCATGCGGAAGTTATGTGTTACCATGCGAGGGATCGATGACTTTTTGATGAAGCTTTAGTATTGGTACCGGTGTATTTAGTGATCGATAAGCCGCAAGTTCTACAGTTTTTGTTCGTTCAGTTCGATTTCGAATAAGCGCCTTTCCAATTACGACTGTTATCACAAGGACCATCAATTATTTTTCTTCGATTTTTGATAAACTATGAAAAGGCATGAGTATGTAAGGAGAGTCCGAAACCCCGCAATTATTTATACAACTACAGCTCAGCATGTTGTAAATTTCGATATAATGATTAGGGTTTAGACAACAGTTGATCTACTTATCCAGCAATTCCTTTATATTATATAACCGTGCATCAATCCGATATATATTCATATTAATTAATTACATATTCGGCATAAAATGTATTCACAACTGTAGTGACAAATTCCATTTGAAAGAAACACCAGAAAATATTTGAAGTTCGGTTTTGCAATTGAATTGAATTTATTGAATTATACGTTTATAAAGGAAATAATGATTTTATTAAAATGGAAAAAATGATTAGCGAATATCTGCGTAAGCATGTAAATTATAAAATAATAAATATTACTTTCAAGTCTTACATCAAGATAAAGTAAACCAAACAATTTTTGAAATAATAAATAAATTTTTTAATTTGAATTAATAATGAATAAATAGTTTCATTTTCATTATTGTTGAAATGAAAAACTATAGATTGATATTTTAATGTAATATCCTTCTGTTTTAATAATTTTACTGGAAAAATAAAATAGCCACGATATTTCTCAATTTCAAATCCATTAAATTAATTATTACATTTTCTTCGTTACGCACCATTTGAAATTAATAAAGTATCGATGTGCTTATAACTGATGTATTTAATAACAAAAATATTGTACATCGAATTGAACAGAATATTTGTATAGTTAAACCGAATATTATTTCAGATTCATATGTACTTGAATATGTTACAAATAAATGAGTAAAATATTTATATTTTTTATAAAATAATAATCAGGCCTGCGATAATCTTAATGTTTTATGAATATAAAATCGTAAATATTACGGTACATATATTTATAAATGAGTTTTTTTTTTAAAGTTTCTCTTACTAACAAATAATCAATGTCACAATCCATTATTCATTTTTTATTAATCCCGAGTTCCTATTGATTTTTCGAATCGAACATTCCTATGAAAGTTATATGTGAGCAAAATAAATTATAAAGAATATTATATAATATTCTAGCTTATTGTTTAATGCGACAACATGGGAAAAAATATTAAAATGTTAGTTGTATATTCAATAAAGATATAAACAATGAAATGCACTAATAATTTTCTTTGCTATGTTCAATGACATTTTTCACTCTATTTATACTTGAATTAAAATTATTTAAAATAGCTATAACTTAAATCTCGCTTAAATAATTTTAAGCGTTATTTTATGTCGAGTTTTGTAACATTATAATATCGCATGAAGTTTCATATATTAACTTGAATAGCAATTATCAAGCTTGTAACTTTGTAAATTGTGAATTTTGGTGATTGAAAGTACAAAATATTTTTATCCAAAAATTACTCGATTGAGATCTAAGATAGAGAATAAAAATACTCTACATTAATGCTATCGACGGGCAAAAGATCGACAGATATTGTAAAACGAGACAAAGTCAGCCATTAGTAATGAGGATCCAACTTCTAGTTATTTATTGTTTGTTCAACGTTATCGAAACAATGTTCTTGCTTTCGATATTTCTTTTTTTCTTTTTTTTTTTTTTTTTTTTTTTTTTTTTTTTTTTTAACTTTATATATCGAGATTTATGTATCTCGTGACTGTTTGTCGCTCATTGGCGAACTTTTAGTCCAATATGTGAAACACCAGGAGCCGGAAATTCCAACCACATAAAGAGCATAAACTTCGGACTCACCCGGGCGTATAAAAGCGAATTTCGGACACATGGTAGGCATATATATCGCACGAGTATCATCCTCCTTCCACATATGTATTTACGAAATATTGCATTATATATTTGATGGTGACTCTTTCGAGCAATAAAATAATCACGGATACAATCACTCAATGGAGTGTAATTTACCTCGTTAGAATCCATCGACATTTAATCTTATATAAAAGCAATTTGATATCAACACGGTTTGAATAAATTGTTTGTATTTAATTATACTAGTTTTATTTATATATTTGCGAATATCTAAATTAATCGAGTAAAACGATGATTTTACATAATACGACCTTTTTCTGTGAAAAATATATTTTACTTTTTTTTTTTTTTTTTAAATAACATGACCAACTTAAATGAAGATAAATCGAATAATAATATAAATTCATTTTATTCTTTAAATCGTGCACATAATGAATTCATTAATATCG